TGTCCCTGGTCAGAATGGTCAGTATTGGTAGCTGGGTATCAGCTAGTTCTTCTGGTCTCAGGATACATAGGGGATATTGTTTTCTTGAGTTCCTTTTCAGAATACTCCTTGCTAGTGTAAAGGAACCAAACTGATTTTTTTGTGTTGATCTTGTACCCTGCAACGTTGCTGAGTTCTTCTATCAGACCCAGCAGTTTTCCTGTGGAATCTTTAGTGTTTTCTATGTATAGGATCATGTTATCTGCAAATAGAGATAGTTTCTCTTATTCCTTTATGATTTAGATATCTTTAACCTCTTTCTTTCCTTTTTGCTCTGGCTAGGACTTTCAGTACAATATTGAATAAGAGTAGAGATAATGGGCATCTTTGTCTTGTTTCCATTCTCAAGGGAAAGACTCTCAGTCTTTCTCCATCAAGAATAATGTTGACTGATGGATGTGCATAAAAAAAACAAAAACAAACCCGTTGCCATTGAGTTGATTCTAACTCATAGTGACCCTGTAGGGCACAGTAGAACTGTCCCATAAGGCTTCCAAGGGGTAAATTCAAACTGTCAACCTTTTGGGTAGCAGCCAAACTCTTAATAACTACACTACCAGGGCTCCTGGTTTTGCATATATACCCTTAATTGTGTTGAGAATTTTCTCTTCTATTCTTATTTTGCTGAGAGTTTTTATCAGGAATGTGCTAATAAACAAACGAACAAATAAATAAATAAAGCTAAATTACAATTTCATACTAAGTGAAAATGTCTTTCTAAAAGGAAAGTGAAATAAAGATATTTAATTTTAGAGATAATCCGTTGCAAAGTGAACAGCAAAAAATTAACTCTAAAATTCCTTCTGAGTTAAAGAAAATTGTTCTTCATGACATGATCATTTCTGGCTAAATATTGAAGGGATCTACAAAAACCTATTAGAGCCAATATGCACATTTAACAAGGTAATAGACTACCCTGCTGACATTGAGTCAGTTCTGACTACTGACAAATCAATTGCTTTTCCATAATAGGTAATAGACATTGATATTAGGAAAAGATAATTTGCAGCAAAATTCAAGTTTTTATGCGTAAGAATTAGTTTATGAAACCATGTACAATACTCCACAATACAGACTATGAAACATTCCAAATAGAAATAAAAGAAGACCTAACTAAACACACTTCTAATTCATATTCATTGATTGAAAATCACAATGTTGTTATGATGTCAATTCTCCCCTAGTTGATTTCAGCCTCAATAAAATTACAATAAGAAAATCAGCATTTTGTTAGAGGTTTTTAAATCTCATTTAAAAATTAATGTGAAAATACAAACACCTGTAATAGTCAAAATATATTTGAAATGAAAAAGAACAAATTTGGAGGTTTTGCATTACGTGATGATGTGATTACTGTAAGTCTACAGTAAGGAAGACACTGTGATATTAACATGGAGTAGAAACAGAGAGCCAGTGAATCAGGCCAATTTCTGTTGTGATATATTACTGTTTGGGAAGAACTACTAGGTAATGTTGGTACCAAGACACATGAGATTGTCCAAGGTTGGTGCAGCTTCCCGTTCAGGAGTTGGAGAAATTGCTGAACAAGAACAGGCTGGGCCAGGACCCTGACAGTCAAGAGAGAGACAGAGAGGTATAAGAACCCTGGGGTCATTCACAGGGGAAAGAAATCAGATCCCAACTATCGCCAGTCCCCAAAGCCCCATAGTTTCCAGCCACCTGTGCAGTTAGTGAGGTGAGGGCAATGGTGGAGACATCCCCAGAGTTCACCTGGGCCTTGCTACCCCAAGTCTTTTATGTGCCCCCAATAACCTTGTGGTGATGGAGGGTCCCATCTTGCAAGTCAACAGCCTCCTGTTTGTCACCCAGTCCACAACAGGCCCTGAGTCTGGACAGCTGGCTTGAGTGCATTTTCCTAGATATGGGTGGGGATGGCCAGGCTGAGGTCCCCAGGTGCCCTGTGAGGACGAAGTTACTGAGCCCATCAATCAGGGAGCAAAAGGCAATGGATCAGGGCCAAGGGCTTGTTTCCAAGCTATGATCACCCACAAACCCCTCAGGAACAGGCCAGCAGGACCCAGTGGTGGCCAGGGCCCAGGTCCAACCATGTCTCTGGTTTATCCATTGCTCTTGTCTACTTTCACCTTCCCCAAAAGGAGGCAATTGTGATGGGCTGGCTTAGATGCATCTATCCTTATTTTACTACATGTGCTCCTGCACCATGAATCATGTGCCCTGCTCACTGATCTGTTTCTAGGAAGTCCTGGGCACTTGCCTTCATTGAAAAAGTTTCTGCTAATAGGCATCAGAGCCAGAAGCAAAGCACGGTGACAAGGTGGCCACCAGTACCATGAGGCTGTGCCTGGAGCCTCCTCCTCCTCCCCTGTGCCCACCACAGCCCTCCTTTCCAAGCTGCCAATCGGTGCCCTGAAATTCCTGGGTTCTCAGGCTAGATCTTCCCCATCCTGATCTCAGCCATCTGGCCTCCAGCATAATAGGAATTCTGAAGTGTGGTCTCTTATTAGACAAAGGGAAAGGTGGGTTCAACTTCCCAACACCTCTGTCTCTCTCCTGATTCTTATGGATGCCTGGCTGAAGCAGTTCTATGAGGGGACCAAGAAGCTTCTCTGCATCTGCTGGACATGAGATTCTGATTGTGACAGGCCACAGGGTACCTTGTCTAGGGCTCTAGGACTGCAGCCCCTGCAGAGGCTCTAAGTGTGGAGGTTATGGGAATCATGGAATGAGGACTTGGGAAAGTAGGCATCACTGAATGGGGATCCTATCAAGTACATTTACTGCTGACTAAAGTGGATACTTGGGGATGACTGTGTTAGAGAAACCCTGTCAATGAGGTTAAAAGCACAGACCTGGATGTCAGCAGGGGAGCTCAGCCCAGCTCAGCCCCTTCCAGACTGAGACCCCAGGTATGGGTGCAAGATAAAATACAACACAATAGTGCATGAGGCATGTCCATTTCAAAACATTATTCATTTTTATCTGAAATTCAAATTTAAATGAACTTCCAGCATTTGTTTTTGCTAAATTTCAGTACATCCATACCTATCCCCAACCCTGGAACCTGTTGCACACCCTCTTCATTCATGCTCTATGGTCTGGGAAGTGATCACAGATCAGTCATCAAACTAACTAAGGTCAGACAGTTAAGGATTAAAAATTTCCCTAAAGTTACAGTTATACTAAGGACAAACGTAGTGTGGACACACAGAAATGCACAGCAGACATGTGAGCACACAGCCATCTTTGACCTGCTGATGGACACACAGACTCTCACTGAAAGGACTTGGAAGCACCCTTATCATTGATCACTTCTGCTGAGAGACCAAGGGACCGGGAGAGAGGATGTAGGAGGGGGAGGTACTTTTTATAATTTTTAATTTGGCATCCTGTGCATGTATTACCTATTCAAAATCAGAAAAAATAAAGTGAAAAATCATTCAGTAGAGCGTGAATAATATGAGACACAAGCAGCGTGGTTCATCCACAGGCACAAGTACTGGATCTGGAGGACATGTTACTTTAGTGGCCCAGGAATATGTTCTAATTTCTTTCAAAATAAGAAGAATGAAAATAAATGGACTATATTCATTGTACTATATTAATTTGTAATTAGAAAATATAATTTTTAATACTTTTATGGAAAAGGGCCTGTGAAATCAAAAAGCCTTGCTGTTAGTTGCCATCAAGTTGTCCCGTAACTCATAGGAGATTATGCACAAAGGAATAAATACCTGCCTGGCCCTACACCATCTCCATGATCCGTTGGGAATCAGGCCATTGTGATTCCTAGAGATTTCATTGGCTGATTTTTTGAAGCACATCACCAGCCCTTTCTTCCTACTCTGTCTTAGTCTGGAAGTTTGCTAAAACCTGTTAAGCATCATAGCAACACTCAACCCTCCATTGACAGATGAGTGGTGACTGCCCATGAGGTGCATTGACTGGGAATCAAAGCTACATCTTCTGCATGGAAGGTTAAAATTCTACCACTGAAAAGTGCTTCCAAACCTGTTGCCATTGAGTCAATTCCGGCTAATGGCGACACTATAGGGCAGAGTAGAGCTGCCTCATAGAGTTCCAAGGTTGTAAATCCTTATGAAAGCAGACTGCCATATCTTTCTCCTGTAGAGCAGCTGGTGAATTCCAATCTCTGACCTTTGAGTTAGCAGCCAAGTACTTAACAACTGTGCCAACAAGAATCCAGCAAAAAGGGCTTAGGGCATAGAAAGTCATAATGTGTCCTCTCTATGATCAAATGACAATCAGAACAATGTGGAGGAATTTTAAAAGGAGTATTATGAGTGAAAGAAGCCACATAAAAATGTGTATATACAGTATGAACTTGTTTATACATTCCAGAATCTAGAACTCAAACGACAGTAACAGAACTCAGATGTGTGGTTACCTGAGGAGGGTGTTGTGGGGGGCACGGAGAGAGGGGTCAAAAATGGCCACAAGGAGACTGTTTGTGTGGTGAATGTACTCACTATCTTGATTGTGGTGATGTGTTCAAGGGTGTATAAATATGCCAAAACATTGATTGATACACTTTAAATGACCATTTTTTGGTATGTCTATTATACCTCCATAAGAAGTTATATTAAAAAAAGAATAGGCTGGGGTTGGGGAGAAAGATTAGAGATTTATAACTAGGACTAATGAGAGGATGTCATAGATCTGAAAACTCCTAGAAAAAGGAAAATCTGATGATGAAGACTCTGGATTCCCTAGTCAGAGTTCGGGGCTGAGATGGTCACAGCTGGACCCTGCCGCCTTAAACCCTGACTTCAATACAAAGAGAATCTGTGTTTCAAGCTGGCAGGGAGAAGGCTTTCTGTTTCCTTTGAGACTTTTTACCTAGGAAGGAGCTGCAGTGGACAGAAGGGAGAGGAGGGGCCTTACTCCCAGGCAGAGCCCCATGGAGCAGCTAGGCCCAGAGTGGCACCAGCACAAGGAAGAGAAGAAGCCCCAGCCAGGCCTTAGAAGGAGCTGCTGGGCATCCTCCTCCTGGCAGATGAGAAAGGAAGTTTTTGTCTCACTTCCCCGTAGGCCTGGAGCACTGTGAAAGCATTGAGGCTGCTGTCATAAGACTGGCAGTAATAAACAGCCTCATCCTCAGGCTGCAGCTAGTGACGGTCAGGGAGTCTGAGGTCCAGACTTGGAACCTGAGAATCGATCTGGGACCCCTGAGGGTCGATTTCTATTACCATAGATGAGGAGTTTGGGGGCTTTGCCTGAAATCTGTTGGTACCAATTCACACCGTAGCCACCAATATTGGTGCTGCCTCCAGTGCAGGAGATGGTGACCTGCTCTCCTGAGCTCCTAGACACTGAAGGTGGCTGACTCAGCACAGACTGTGCCCAGGATCCTGGAAGTGGGAGATACAAAGATGTTGATTCTGGGTTCTAGAGACAGGAAGAGAAAGCAGGGCCCCATGTGTCTTCACAGAGCCCTTCCCCAGCCCCAATCTAGTCACCTGTGCAGTGAGTGAGGAGGGTAAGGAGGAGACAAGGCCATGATGGCGAATATCTCCAGATTTCTGCTTTATGTTGCCCTACAGCTGAAGCAGGGCTTCCTAAATCTCCCCCATGCACTCTTCACACTCTGAGAGAAGGGAGGGTCCATTCATGCAAATGAGGTTACTCTCAGTTTTCTGATCCCCCTGCTTGGCCCTGGGTCTGTCCCCTCTGCCTGAGGATGGCCAGGGGTATGTGGCAGGGATGGGACAATGTGGGTCCCAGGGTGGGTTGGAGGTCATAGTTGTGGCCTATGAGCCTTGAGCAGAGGACACCAGGCAGGGATAGGTGGCTTCTTCCCAGCTCTGATTACTTTCAGGAATGGGCCGTGAATGCCTATTTTCAGACTCAGACACAGCAATTGTGTGACGTGGAACCAGTGCCCCTCAGAGACAGCTCCTGCCTCCCCACTGCTGAACTCATTGTTCCTGCTTTAAGTCTAAGCCAGGTGACCCCTTTATGTGGTCTCCCAGTACCTCAGGGCAATCTTTTCTCCACTGAGACTCTCAGGAGTGAATCTGCTCTATGGCTCCCTTGACTGTTCATTGGATCATGACGGACTTGGTTTCTCTTCTACAGATTCCTTTTAGATCTGGAATCAAATCCAGAGCAGAGACTGGCCATCAGGGATGCTCCAAGTGTACAGGGGGTGCAGCTCTTTCTTTTTATGTTTTTCCTTCCTGGTGGCCTGAGTCCTCCTTCCTTGTGGTTCCACTGCAGCACTGAGGTAAAAGTTGTTCTTTTCTCTAGCAATGGTTGTGGTGAAGAAGCCCTTGTGTGCACTCCTGGAGGGTCATGCAGTGTGAATCTTCATCTTCTGTCAGTATTTCCACATATTTGAAAACAATAGTCATCCATAAACTTTGACCAGTTGATTCACTCCTAGGAGTTTACTCTCCAAGTACAAGGACACAAGTCTGCAGGAATCCATGCCAAATAAAACTCTTAGCAAAATATTACTTGCTAACAAAAAGGTCAAACATGCTGAGCATTTCAGGATGGAATGAGTTGAAATTTTAAATTTCTTCAGTAAGTGCCTGGCCCCAGGTGAGTCTGATACATGCTAAGGGTTATGATCAACCACTCCACACAAGGGGTTTAATTGGGAAAATATGGTTTTATGGTGTTTAAAGTACACATCAGACATATTATTAACATTTTTCATATTCAAATAGATTTTTAGAAATGTGCTTTCATCTGGGTTTTCTGCGTATCACTCTGTCTTTGAAGATGGAGAAATTTCCAGAGTGAATATTCTTTCCATTTTCTTCCCACGTTAAGGAACAGGGATTCACCCAGGCTCAGTAGTTGCCCACACACAGAAGAAGGCTTGCCATGGTCCCTCTGTGTCCATTGGGTTCTCCCTATGGAGTCCTCTCAGCTCTCAGGCTGAGTCAGAGAGAGGAGCAAGTCAATAGCTGACTCCCCAATTCAGGCCCCATCCTGGGCCAGGACAATGTGGCCTGTGTGAGGAGACACATGTTTAAATTCACATGAGAATTTTCTCATTATGTGATGGAAACAACTGATTTCTTCACCCTCAGTAACTGTATTTTGTGCTGAAGGGAACCCAAATCCTACGTATTTCAACATGAGTAGTTGTTCTGTTCCTCATACACTTGGAATAGGATGTCCTCCTGCAACTGAGCTGTCTGAAGTTGGGAGGGGAGAGAGCAGTTCCCCAGATAAGGCCTCCTGAAAAAGACACGAACCTCAGGGTGGCAGCAAAAGAAACAGTAGATGTCCAGCCTGGGCTGAGCAGGCAGATGCTGGGTGACTGGAGACACTTTGAAAGGTCCATATCTCCATACCATAAAGACTTGGAGCACCAGATCAGGTGCCAGACAGTCATCGTAAGACTGGCCATGAGAATCAGTCTCATTCTCAGGTCTCAGCCTGATGATGGTCAGAGAGTTGCCAGACATGAATCCAAAGAACCAATGACCTAGGATTAACATAGATGAGAAGTTTGGGGTTGTTCCTGGTAATTGTTTGTTCCAGCCCAGAGAACTGCCACCCCAATGTTGGTGCTGCTTGCAGTGCCTGAGGTGGTGACCTTCTATTCCAGGGATCCAGATACTGAGGGTGGCTGAGTCAGCAAAGACCAGGCCCAGGATCACAGAAACTGGGAAGACAGTGAGCAAAGGCTTATGTAGGACATGGCAAGTAGCGCATGTGCCCTGGGCACTACTTGAAGGAGGATACCGTTGAGCAGTTTTTGTTAACCTGGTAAGGCCCAACATCCTTCCTTAATATGGTAGACATCAGTACATATAAAAGCCAAAACAACATTCTGACAGCCGGATTTGGTACCTAAATTTTTGTGAGAGAAAGTTTAGACAGGGGTGCCATTTTAGTGCTTGCTGTAGGCTTTAGATACGCTGCTGTCAGTGAGATAGCAAGACTGGTGTCAGAGTTCCCCTGCATCCATTGAGAGAAGAGGAAGAAGACAAAGCTTCTCCCTGTGACTCTGGGTATCCAGTCACCTGTGCAGAGAGTGAGAAGGTTTAGTGGTGAGGGGTCCAGACTATGGTGGACACACCCAAGAACTCTTATTCCCTCCACAAACCCTGGGAGGAGGTGATTCATGCAAATACACCCTCACTGCCTAAAGTCTCAGGCCTACATTGCCCCCTAAATCAGGCCCTTTGGTTTGGGCTTCATTGGTTTGATGGTTAATGTAATGTATCAACTTGGCTAGGCCATGGTGTTCAGTGGTTTGGCAAACATTATGTAATCATCTTCCATTTTGTGATCTGCTGTGAGCAACCAATTAGCTGGAAGGGGAGTTTCCTTGGGGGTATGGCCTGCATCCAATATATACAGATGTTCTGGCAAAGAGTACACTCTCTTCATTGATCCTGCATTCATCTCATTGTCTTCTGACCTCTTGTTCTTGGGACATGAGAAGACAACAGCCTGTCAGTCACCTGACCTTCAGATTTGGGGTTTGTCATCCCAAACCATGTGAGTCAGGAGAAACTGTTAGCTCGCTATCTGACCCACAGTTTTGGGACTTGCCAGCCCCTATAACTGCATGAGCTATTTCCTTGAAGTAAATCTCTCTATATATATATCTATACACACTTCACTGGTTTTGCTCCTCTAGAAAACCCAGAATCAAACAGTTGGGAGAGGAGAAAGTTCTCGATAATGTGTGGAGGGGTTCCCCAAGAACTCAGGAAGAACTTGGCAGCTGCTCCACAGAGAATACTAAGCAGAGACAAGGAGCAGGTGGGCTGATTCACCACAATAATGGACCTACCTACTGTCAGGGACAGGTCCATATCACCCCCTGCTGCCCTGATCCCAGGCCGACCCAGTCTGTGATGAGTTGCCAGCAGCACATTAGAGAGAGGGTCCTGCTCCAACCACTGCTCAGTAACTGACCGCTTCCAGCCCAAAGGCAAAGTCAAAGACCTTCTCCTTTGGGGGAACCTCATTTCTCAGGTCAGTGTTTACTCTTCCACTCTGGGTTTCCAGTCTGATCTGCCCCACTGCTCACTATGCTTTCAGGGTGAACTCAGAGGGGAAGACTCACATACAAACACTTGTGGAATAACAACCAGGAAGCACAGAGCAGAGACAGGCCCCCAGGGCCTCACCTCCAGTCAGCTCAGATGTGCAGCCTTCTCTCTTCCTGCTTGATCCTCATCTGATGAGACCATAACTCTTCTTTCCCAGCACTACCACCTCCCTCATTTGAGTAGAGGGGTTTTTATGTAGTCGTTGTTGGAGAGGTGTAGGGGGAAGGCCTCTCACAGACACGGATGGTGGGCTGCGAACTGGTACCAGCTTATTATCAATCAATTTGGCAACACTCCTTCAAATAATTGTGTACACATGTTGAACAATCAGTTAACTCCTAGGGATCTTTACTACATAAAAGCACACTACAGTTTGTTAAAGATACCTAGTGGCACAAATGGTTTGTGCTCCAATGCTAACATAAAGCCTGGAAGTTTGAACCCACCCAGAAGTACTGCAGAAGAAAAGGCCTGGCATATGCTTCTGTTAAGATCACAGCCAAGAAAACCCTATGAAGCAGTTCTACTCTGTAACACATGAGGTTGCCTTGAGTTGAAATCTACTCAACAGCAACCAACAGAAACAAAAAAAAGTTTGTTAAAACACAGAGAAGCACTTAATATATGAGTTAATTAGCATAAAACCTTATATCTTTACCTGTCCCATGATATTACTTTAGATTTATTAGATTTATATGATTATTTATGATCTAGTTCCCATCAGGGAAGCAATACTTAACTTTGTTATGGTGCACATATTAATGGAAATTATGTAGCTCTTAAATTAGTATCATCTTTATGTGTAATGTTTTCAAGATTTGTTATTATGTGAAAAGATAATCAAGTGCCTGCAAATATGACTTTGTTAGGAAAAATCAATAGAACAAAAGATAACAAAGACTTTTTTGTATGTGTATAAAAGCTTCTAAAGTCTCCACATAAATCTTGGCAGTGTCTCTTCAAAAGAGGGACTGGAGAAGAGGGAAAAAAGCACACTACTGTCTTTTATTTACCTAAAAAACCAAACCCAAACCCATAACCGGCAAATCAATTCTGACTCATAGGTCCCTATAGGACAGAGTAGAACTGCCCAATAGGGTTTCCAAGGAACAGCTGGTGGAGTCGAACTGCTGACCGTTTTGTTAGCAGCCATAGCTCTTAACAACTGCTGCTCAAGGCTACTTTATTTTCCTAGGGACTTGATTTCTTTTCAAATCAATGTTTACTTTCTAACATTAAGTAAATAGTAAATAGTGAATGAGAGTATACTTAGCTAGTTGAATAACTATCCCCCTCAGTTTATTTGCAAGCATAACTAAAATCAA